TGTATTTTTGGCTATTGCTACAAATATACCCCAGCGACTTAAGACTGCTTTTGTGCTCCAGGGCCACATATTAAGTGTCAAGCTTCATTCTTTATTTGTGATGTTTCAGCAACGGCTCTCTTTTGGTTGAGCTTCACTAGAGCGATCAGTTGATTGTTTTTAATGAATGTTTCGCAGGAGGCATCGCTGGTTTCCGACAGAGCCACGATGATCTGTGCGAGCACTCTCTTCACCTGGAGGAAGGACAGGACAGCAGTACAGCGGTGGGCCTGTCGGGGGCGCTACCTCATTCCCTGCCCTCCACACCGGACATCGAGAACGCAGAGCTGACGGCCATCCTCCCCTTCCTGTTCCTGGGCAACGAACGGGACGCTCAGGACCTGCAGCTCATGCAGCGCATGGACATCGGCTTCATCCTGAACGTCACCACGCACCTGCCGCTCTACCACTACGAGCTCGGCCTGTTCAAGTACAAGCGCTTACCCGCCAGCGACAGCAACAAGCAGAACCTGCGGCAGTACTTCGAGGAGGCCTTCGAGTTCATCGGTACGACAGAGAGAACCTGTCAAGAGTACTTCAGTTGCAAGATCAGGAGGAAGACAGGATGACAGTTTTGCTGAAAGAGAAACAAAAAATGTTATTTATTTATTTATTTATTTATTATGCATGTGTATGTATGCGTGTGTGTGTTTACACATCCATAATAAATAAATAATATATACATAGTAATAAACTATATATAGTACTATAATTATAGTAAAACAATTATATAATATAGTAGTATAGTTATAATAATGAATATATATTATGAATATAATGTGTCATAATTAGACTAATTATGAGTTATAATTAAATATTATAATTAATTCATAAATAATATACAGTGGTGGCCAAAATGATTAGGACACTAGTATTTCCAGCAGCTAAAAATGGTTTTAAGTCAGTTATTTCTGTATTTTGCTGTAGTGTGTCAGTAGGAAATATCAGCTTACATTTCCAAACATTCATTTAGCCATTAATTGCCATTTTAGCCACCACTGTATATTATATATTTAACAAAAAAATATAATAAATCATACAAAATGTTATGTAAATTATTATTGTAATAATTATAATTAACTATTACAATGAAAGTATATTATATATTTAACAAAAATATATAATAATGCATACAATGCATAATAAATCATACAAAATGTTATATAAATTATTATAATAATTATAATTCATAGTAAAATAATAAATGATAATTACAATTTGTGCAATTATATGTATTGTAAATTATATAATGATTAATGATTACATGTCTATAATTAATTTATATATTTAATTATTTAATTTATTGTATGTAATATAAGTTATGTTAATAATTACATAATTATAATTAAAATATGTAATATGAATATTGGTAATAATAATAATAATACAGAATAAATTATTATTGTAATAACTAATTAATGTTAAAAATGTTAAATTATAATTACAATTTGTGTAGTACACTGTATAATGTAATATATAAATAATCTGAAGTATAAATTATATGTAATTTCATAATTACATAATAATAATTAAAATGTTATATATTTATATATATATAATGCATAATAAACTATATAAATGACTATTGCAATATTTATAATTAATAACAATAATAATTATAGCCAAATATTTATAGTATTTTATTGATTGATTTATGCAGATATTTCTTTGCGATTCAACCTGACTGAGGGTAAAAAAATGACATTTTTGAGAACAGGGACATCTGTGACTTGACAAATGCTTTGGTAACGGAACGTTTTCTGAGAAATGCTGATGATCGGGACATTTTTTGCTGACGTTCTCTGTTTTTCCCGTCCACAGAAGAGGCGCACCAGGCCAGTCGGGGGCTCCTCATTCACTGCCAGGCCGGCGTGTCGCGCTCCGCCACCATCGTCATCGCCTACCTGATGAAACACACCTGTTTCTGCTTCTGTAAGTGTGAATGGGATCCGTATCTAACGTATATTACGCTTGTATGTTTTTGGGCTTCACTGTGTTTAACGGTTCAACTCTCTCATGACCTCAGACGGTCCAGAAAGATGGATGGATGCTTGTGAAGTTCAGCTTTTTGCGCACACGTAAGAATCGTGCCTCTATTGGTGCCTTAACTAATTTTTTTGTGATTTTTTTGGAGTGTGTGAAAAGGTAACGAGGTGTTTCTGTGTGTTTGAAGTGTCAAAAGGTTGATTTTTATCGTGGTTATGTGTGGTTTTAAATCACACGGTATGTTCTTTTGTCTCATAACAGAACTGAAACGCTGTGAAATATCAAAACTCTGGGCTCGTCTAAATGTTGAAATGCAAAGTGTACAAGAGGACAGTTTATTATTCTTCACCTGGACTCTGTCAATCTTCACAATTAAGGGTTTTTCTAAAAAATACGTTTGAGTTTTTCAGCTTTACACAAACCTCCTGCACTTTGGACGTACGATTTTGAAAACTTGCATATTACTGCTTTTGTTGAACTAAAACAAGTAGTGCTCTTAGAAAAGCAACTAGAAATTTTACCTTGAATGGTTTCAGTGAAATTGCATCCCTATATTTGTAATTTATATGTATATATAAGTATTGAAAATTTGACAAAGCAAGCAAGTGACTTAAAATAGCTAAAAGAGATCCTCACAATCAGTAAAATCAGACTTTATTATTATTATTATTATTATTATTATAAAAAACCAACCAGCACACTTATTATTCTGACTTGCTACTTATCAGGCCATTAGAAATGATTAAAAATTATAATATTCAAAGCAGTAGATCAGACACTGTGCCAATATCAGAAAACAACCTACTTGTTCACTTTTTTCTCTTTCTTAGTTTTTATTGCAGCTTCATTATATGTAAGCTTTTTTATTTTTTGGCCACGGGATTTGCGACTTTTTATTTCACAATTTTGACTTTTTCTAACAATTCTAAGAAAAGTCAAAATTTCAACATATAAACTCAGAACTGCAAGAAAAGATGGCTTTTTTAAATTCTCTGATGGAAACAAAGAACAGAATTGTGAGATGTAAACTGTAAATTCTGAGAAAAAAGTCAGGCAGAGTTTATATCCTTCAATTCTAAGTTATCTATCTTCTTTTTCTCAGAATACACAAGTCACAGTTACCTTTTTTAAACTTTTTATTCTATGGTGGAATAAAAAAAACAGAATTGCAAGATGTGAACTCAGAATTCTGGGGGGGGAAATTATGAGGAAAAAGCTTCTAAGGACTTTTTTTCTTGCAAATCTTAGTTTATATTTGCAATTCTGACCTCTTTTTTCTTTTTGTGAGAGAAATTGTGAGAAAAAGCTGCAATTATCTTTTTTTATTATTCTGTGGCAAAAAGAAAAAAACAGAACTGCGAGAAAAAAGTCAGAATTCTGAGTTTATATCTTGCAATTGACTTTTCTTCTTAGAATTGTAAGAGTTTATATCTGGTTTTTCTCAGAATTGTAAGAAAAAAAATCAGAATTCTGAGGAGAAAATAATTATTTTTTTTATCTCACAACTCTTTTCTTGTTTATATCTTGCAATTCTGATCTTTTTGTCCTAAAAACTATGAGACAAAAGTTAGACAGAGAAACAGAACTGTGAGAAAAAAGGTCTGAATTCTGAGTTTATAGCTTCTTTTTTCTCAGAATTGCAAGAAAAAAAAGTCTGAATTGTGAGATAAAAAGTCGCAATTACCTTTTTATTATTTTATTCCGTGGCAGAAACGGGCTTCCTTATCAACCTCCTAAGATATATCATTAAATGAAAATGTTGGATGATAAAAACGGAATGCAAAGCACATTTTGAATCTTTTAAGCTTTCCTGTAAATTTACCGCGGTATGCTAAAGATGCATATTCTGTCTCATTCATGTTCAGCTGATGCAAAGTGTATTTTTATTTTCAAACGCTGGTTTAATGTCACTTTTGTCACACTGTGCTTGTACGAGCGCGACCCGGACCATCTGAATCCGGCTCCAGGATTTCAAGGGCAAAAACTCTCTGGGTGCGCTCAGCAAACGGTAGACATTTGCTAATGGATTTCTATGCATTGTTTATATTTTTGCACTGACTTAAAAAAAAAAGGAAAAAAGCGTTTAATTTGTTTATTTTTTTATTTATTATTTTCCCACAAAGGTGCTACGACGCTGGAGGCCTTCCACACTGTTTTTGCATGACCTGCTTTGGTAAAGTGTCTTCCTGTAAGGCAAGAGCTCTCTTTAAATGTCAAGAGTTCACAACACTGTTATTTTGTAATGTGGGGTTTGGAAATAAACCACAAAAATGAAAAGATTTTGAATGACTTATTTAGTGTTTCTAAAGCTGATGGTTGCTCAAGAAAAACTGATGCATCACATGAGCATCACTGTTACTACTTTTCATGCTGTATTTGTATTTGAGCAAAACATAATAATAAAAAAAAAAAAACAATTCAGCAGTCGCATAGCAAACACCCTGGCAACCGACCACAACATCCAAGCATGTGCATAGCAACGCATTACAATCTACTCAGAACCAGTGTTGTTATTGTTAACTAAAACTAAAGCATATACAGTGCATTTAGAAAGTTTTTCAATTTTTTTTCAATTTTATGTTGCAGCCTGATACTAAAATTGTTTGAATTCATTTTTCTCTCTCATTAATCTATAATCTGTACCTCATAATGACAAAGTGAAAACAGAATTTTAGAAATGTCTGTAAATTTATTAAAAAATAAACTGAAATATCACATTTACATAAGTATTCAGACCCTTTGTGACAACACATGAAATTTAGCTCAGGTGCCTCCCATTTCTCTTGATCATTGCTGAGATGTTTCTACACCTTGATTGGTGGTAAATTAAATTCAGATATCAGAGCGAAAACCAAAACATGAGGTCAAAGGAACTGCCTGCAGAGCTCAGAGACAGAATTGTAACAAAATTTAAAAAAGTGAAGGGGGTCCGAATGCACTGTATATATATATAAAATTTCATTATATAGTTTTTAGTATATATATATTTAATTTTGCATTAGCAAACAACACTTTCATTTTCTAAAGAACACTAATGCTTATTATGCATTAAAATATTGGGAAAAGTGCAGTATGGGCTACTCATTCTTCCTACTAACTCTCACAGTCCCAGACGGAGGCCGTGTCACTCTGCTGCCGCTTGTATCTGTCTATATTTGTTGCTGGGTTTGTCCGGGTGGGAGGCTTGAATTCTCTCCATAGGAACAGAGGCCAAAAATAGTTTTTAGTGTGGTTTCTAATTAGAAGTGATGATTAATTTGCTCCAATCGCTGCTGTCAGTCGGCTGCACTAGAATAGCCGTGATCACAGCGCTGCTGTGTTATGGACGTATTAGGCAAAGCCAAGCTCTGACAACTGAAGGAGGGGCTCCGAGGTTTCATGAGACTCCCTGGAAAGTTGAACTTTGATGAAGCTCAACTCAAACTGACCCAAATGGGGTTTGGGTCTCAGGAGAAAGATCTGAGACACTGGTTTTCTGGGAGAAAGAATTGAGACGTTGATCTGTCATTCGTGTGTCTTCTTTCCAGGGTTTGTGTTGTGGGAATTGAAGCATGTGGCTTTAATGGCACCCTTGTGGGCGTCTGATTCAGGGTCAGCTGTCCCATCTGTCACAGTGATGACATTTCTAAAGTGTGCTGTGACTGAATCACACTTAAAATATCCTAATTCGTGGCGTTATTCTGTTACCTTTTATACAACTGATAAAAAGCGTCTCTGCTGATGTCAGAAGTGGTTCTGGAGAGGGAAAAGTTGGCAGTGACATACATGACAGTGACATTTGAGATTGTTTTGACGGCAGGCAGCATCTGATCTGGGAGATCCTCTGTGAATCACTGATCTGAGACCTGCAGCGTTCCTCTCAAGTGTCTCTCTGCATGTACATTTGGTCAATCAAGACATCGAAATGCATTTGACTGTAATCGTTTAGGTCATACTTCACTCCAACATCAAATGACTAAAAGTAAATATTTAGTAAAATATTTGTGTGTGTGTGTGTATTTGTTGTACTGAATGAGTATTTATTATTGCAATTAAATAGAAATGACTATTACTGTAATGAGATTTTATATAGAAATTGTTAATAATAATATATAAACACTTTAAAATAATAATAATTTAATTTTTTTGTTTTAATATTTATATTATTTATATTTTAAGAATAGAAGAATAAGATAGTGTTGCATTATAACAATGATGATTTGGGGGTAAATGTGCTAACTCTAAATAAATAAATAAATTAATAATGGAAAATGAAAAGCGAATCAAATCATTTTGTTGCCTCATCAGAAAAAAAAGTTTTTTTTTAAATTAATGTTTCTTCAATTGAAACAACTGAACAATTGAAACCCCAACAATTCAATATGAACTCAAACATTTCTCATCAAAATCATCAGATGTTTAATTAAAGCTCTTCTCATTGCATGTTAACAACTGACTCGTTTGCTCATTTGAGATCTTTAGAAGAAACTGGTGTTAAATGGTGTTAAAACGTCCTGCGAGCTTTAAAAGACCAATGCATTTGCATTTAAAACGAGATATGTTGAGGTAAAACAAGTTTCTTCATTTCACTTCCATCAATGAGTGATCGTAAAGGAACCTGTAAAGATGTTTAAGATGTTCTGCTGGTTGTTGGTCAGAAGCTGCTAAACAGGATGAGACACGCTGTTCCTAAACAATGTCACTGCTTTCCACTTTTAAACTTCATGTATATACAGTAAGTGTGTTTTGGCTGGTTACTGTTGCTGTGCGTCTTTGTGCCCCACTTCAGGCCGTCCTGTTGGGAAAGAGCTCTGGAGATACTTTCACTCAGAAGTGGCTCTATATGAAACCTCGGTGGGCGTCTCTGGAGACAACAGCTGCAGACTTTAACAAGCAGACCAGAGCCGGTATATCACACTCTAAAAATGCAACAATGAAGACACGTAATCCCATAAGGTCAGCGCAAAAATAATCAGGTCATGAGATAAAAATTGCTCTTGAAATATGAATATGTGTTAGAGGGAGCGGCAATCATGCCTCATGCCTTGTAGTATCTTGGCTTGACACATGTTAATGATTAGAGACAAAAAAAGTTTTAGTTCAGGATTATTGTAGTTAACTAAAACTAAAACTAGAACCATTAAAAATAATACTTTTGTTACTTAAACTAAAGTAAATGTTAACTAAAGCAGAATAAAGTACAAAAACTTTAATGTATTTTATTTTAGCCAGTTGCCAAGGCAAATAACTTAAAATAACTAAATAAAACAAAGATAATAAATAAAAAAATAATAAAAAATCGTGTAGACGTATTACAAAAAAAGAAAAAGAAAAATCACAAAAACACAACAAAACTACCGAAGCTACCAAAAAAGGGGAAAATATAAAATATAAAAATAAAATCGTACTCAAAATAATTACAAAGACTATAATAATATAAATTATAATATAAAAACTGTGCTGTTCTTTTATGCAATTATTATTAAAACATGATTAAAGTTTATTAAGTATTAAGCTGTTGTTATGTAGGCTGTACTGACATAGAAATCTTGATATGAATATATTATTATTATTATTATATATTTTTTCAGGTCATACTTCAGCTTCAGGAATCAAATCTTTATAATGCACAGTAGATTTTTTAACAAATATTCTATTTTATTTTATTTTACATGAAAAGCGTATGAAAATATTTTGCCCTGATATTACAGACATCTAATACCAAATTACAAGCAAATTAATTATTTGCTGCAAATCCATTCATTGTTTATAGACAAGTTTATCTATAGTGCACAGTAATGTTATATGTAATTAATTAATTTTATTTTATTTTTATTTGATTGTCTTAGATTTATTTTATTTTAAAATGTTGCATATATTCTGCCCTGATATTACAGGCATCAAATACCAAATTAGGAGCAAATTATTTGCTGCAAATCCATTCAATATTTACAGACAACATCATCTTAGTGTGTGTCTCGAGTCATGGTTGTTATATCCACAGTAAACAGAGGGTAAACAGAAGCAGTAATGTTGACGCTAAATTTGGCATTGGGCAAGAGGTTAAGTTTCTCCGTTGTAATGAGAGCCACAATGAAAATCTGTCCTTGCATTGCTGGAAGAAATCACTCTGTATTTAGATGTAATGTTAAGATGCTTCCCTGTTTAGTTCCAGCCACGTCTCATCTAATTTTAGCCTGAAATATGAAACAGTCACAATAAAGGAGCTATTTATAATGGCCGTGCTGTATCTCTAAATGACAACAGTACATTACTGAGTAGAGCGCTGAGCTGTCAGTCAACAGTATGATAACAGAGGCACTGATTTCAGATCAGACTCAAATCATGGACATACTGTAAACATGCACAGAGAAGGTTATATGTCTTGTTAGACCTCTAAATGTTCAACATGTTGAACATGTTGTGTTGCACACAATCTACAAAGATTTAGAGTGACAACTGATATTTATATTGCTATATCTGACTGCTAAGATCTCACTGATTTACATTACAAGCATCAGAATTGCATCACTTTCGTGTGCATATAAGTATCAGCATCTGCACCAAACTATTGCATATTTTTGCTCAGTTTGGGCCTCTGAATAAAATGTAACTGTTTTTTTCTCAATATTCCCACTGTATATCCTAACGTACGTCAGTGTTTTTAAATGTATTTTTTATTATGCTGTGTCTAAAGGTACAACAAACAGTTCCATTAAAAATAAAATAAAATAATAAAAAATTGTGACTATTATTTCACATGTCAGGCTTTAAAGGGTTAATGTTAGTGTCTTGCCTCATAGACTTCCACTGTAAGCAAGTGCATTACTGTTTAATGTACGGATTTTCAAAAAGTGCTAATAATTTATTTATGTATATAAAAAAATACTAATAATAAGGGTAAATTTTGCCTAGTGAGTGCACATTTAAAGGGGCCTTCATACATACACAGGCAACAACACACAAGAGTCGTTCATTTTCAATGAGAGTTTACCAGATATTTTGTTGAAAATACCTGTAGGCTACATTCGACTCACTCACAACACAGACCACATTTTTTATTATTTATCATAAGTTTATACCGAAATCTGTATTTCAAGGCGTTTAATGGGTAGTGAAAGTATCATAATACAACAAGGCCTCAATGCAGGTGGAATGTTATTTTGTCTACATCCTTTAACTTTAACAAATAGACTTTGTTTAATAGCAAATCGTTCTTTTACTGCAACTAAGCAGCATTTCACGCGATTATTGTCATTATTTCAGCATTTTGAATCGGCGCAAGAGACGTTAATTTTTTCCCGCTCAAACTGACAGAAGCTGCGCGCGCTCGCTCTGACAGGCAGACGGCGGGTTTCTGAGGTAAGACGCTTTTTATCTCACTACAAATTATATACATCGATAACATAGTTTTTACATCGTTTTTGTGCTAATTAGAGTACTTGGGTCACGTTGTGTTAAGTTAGTTTACTGTGTGAGGCGCAGAAATTAGGTGACCATCAGCGAGTCCTTGCGTGAAAACGACACAATCAGGCTAAATGTTGGCCTTCATAAACGCTTAGGAGTTTGTCGTCCATATGACAGCTTTAATTAAAGTCATATAGGAGAAGATTTGACTCTACAACAGCTCAGAGGTCAAAACAAACCCTCCGATCTGATGTGGAGCTCATCGTTACTGCTGTTTGAACGTGCTTGTCGATCTTTTATGAATGACAAGGAGGAGGAATCGAGGAAAATGCAGGGATATATAGAGTTTCAAATGTTAATGAACAAAGGAGAAAATCTTATACAAATCTAGAGAAACCAGTGTTGCCAACTAGTTTTCAGGGAAAATTTTGTAAAATCTCAGCAAAAACATATATATTTTATATATGTTAATTTAGATTTGTTCGTAACAATATAAATGCATAATATAATAGTAAAATATAAATAACTATTTTTAAATACATTGAATTATCGAAAACAATGTAAGTTTTATACTTTAAAGCAGTTTATTAGTAGTTAGTTAGTATGCTGCACTCTAAGAAAAGTAAAAAATAATGCACAATCTACTGTGTTAATATGAAGGAATTTTCTGGATTGATTTTTCCACAGGTTTTTGTACCTGCATTTTTAATTACGCATTGTATTTTGTGTTTTCGGGTTACAACGGATAACGGATAATGTCCTGGAAAATTACTAGCACCTTTTCCATTTTTCTGCATATTTTTCTTACAGTGTACTAACTCATCAACAATCACAGGTACAAGCTACTAACAAAGTGTCTCATAAATGAAAAATAACAGTATTCAATTATTATTATTATTACTATTAAATGAAACAATTGCAAATAGCAGCTAACTTAATTCCTGTGATGTATGTACTTCTAGGCATCTTTGGTTTCCTCTTTTTGTGAATTTTTAATTTTTTGGAAAGTGAGAAAAGCTTGAGTAATTTTTAATACCTTATATTTATGGATAAATCGATTGCGTAGAAAATAAACATTTTCATATTGCTTTTCAAAAGTGACTAATTATGTCAGACAAGACATTATGAAAATAAAGCTGGAAGTCTTTATTTGAAATCCACAATGAACTGACAGTACCAATTAACGTGTACCATGTTTAATTTGATTTTTGTAAATGTAAAAGCATAGATTTCTTTATAATTTTTGTTATTACAAAAACTGAAAACTTAATTATAGGCATAATAAATGATTTTGATACATTTAGCTTTTTTTGTTTTCTTTTCTTCTTGGACCACCTGGTCTTGGTGTTGGTCTAGGTCTTGGTCTAATTCATTACAGGTTCAGTCCTCATGAGGTTTGAACCTACAACCTATCAGTTACCAGCTCAGGTCATTAACCACCAGGCCACCTGTTCAGATCACATATGGGCCGCATCAGTCAGTCGTTCACTTCCAGGGTTTATCTGCGCAGCTCTCTGACATCCTGTCAGACCGGCTCAACCTGCGCCATAAAACAAGAATTATTTACACCTTCTCTAAATAAAACACACAATCCCCATTGCCTATTATAGAAGAGCCGCTCAATGACTCCAGTAAACAGCTCTGGGAGAAACACTCGCTGTGTCACTGAGTTTACTGGAGACTTGTGTGTCTGGATTAGCTTGACTCTCGGTCACATTCTCGGCTGGCAGAAAAACGAGTGTTATTGTAGAGTGCAGACTCATCGCATGTCAAGATGTTGTGTAGGTCTTAAACCGGCTGTGATGCTCGCGAACAGAAAAACTAATTCAGACGTCGATATTAGAGGATTTGCATCATTAATGCATTTGCATTGCATCATCAATCATGCTCATAATTAAGGTTATTAATGTGAACAAATGCCTGACGGAAGTATAAACCTTGTATAATGTAATCATTGTTTTTTAATAGTCTTTTAGTGGCCTATAGATAAAATATTTATATTATAATAAAAATAATAATAACGGTTATTCACTTATAGGATTATATATAAAAAATTATTTATATATATTTTATATGTATTTTATGTGTTTATATACAATTATTATTATTATTACTATTAAATGAAACAATTGCAAATAGCAGCTAACTTAATTCCTGTGATGTATGTACTTCTAGGCATCTTTGGTTTCCTCTTTTTGTGAAATTTAGATGGAAAATGTGTGCCTTTTTATTGTTTGAGTCACTTATCAAAAGTTTCTAAAAGTAGCCAAATAAAATTTAAAAGTAGCTAACTTTGTTGCTAGGTGCTTTTGGAAGAAAAAGTTGCTAGGGTAGTCTGAAAAGTTGCTAAATTTAGCAACAAAATTGCTAAGTTGGCAACACTGAGAGAAACCCATATGTAAAACTCACAGTAAAAAAAAAAGCTCGATTGAGAAAGAAGCTCGCTCGAATCTTTGTAGGACTTCACTGCCGTCTTGTGTCATAACAGAAAATTGTTTGT